CAAGTACGCCGTGAACAAATGACGGAGAAGCATTCGCGCTGGCCGCTTCATCTAATGCTGGTTTTTATTTGTGGTGATAACAGACGTGTTTTAAGTGAATTCCAGGCAGGGATGTGGCTTGTATGTGTTATGTAAACAGAAATGTTCTCATAAGATCCCATTAAATCTGTATAGTAGCTGCTATAGTAGGAGTAATACACTGAATATGCAATAAAGAATCGTTCACAGCGGCAGGCGGAATAGTTTTCCTGCTCAGAGTAAATGAACGTTCACCCGTTTTGCTTTTATTCCTAAGCAGTGTTGGATATCTCTTTCTTTCTGGGTCCATCAGTGCATCTGAAGGTACTACTGAGAGCCGTTTTGGGGTAAAGTGGGCTGGTGGATTGACCTTGATGGAGGCTGACTGGAGCAGGTGGTGCTCCTATGGGCAGGGAGGGGCACCGGGGAGAAAGCGGAGAGCGGCGGGCCGAGATGGGTGCTAACGAGCCCCGCCTAATCCGCCTTAATCTCAGTAATGATTCCAGAAATGTTAGGCAGGAGTTGAAGGCGGAAGGGAAGGCGCGGGGATTTGAGTGGAGATAAGAGGGGTAATCTCTATTACCCACACCTCCCTGCCCCCGGAGACCGAGAAAGGGTGAGAGGGGGCGATGAAGAGCCGTCCGGAGAGCAGATGAAAGAGAGTGGGGGGTGGGGGTTGTACTCCCTCTGCTTTATTTGGTGTTGTACGTTTAGCCCATGTTTTCTGCTGTCTGAAAGACAATCAAGCCCTTTAATACAGCCTCTAAGATCATTTTTTTTTTTCTCTCTCTCTGATCTGTGTGTGTGTGTGTGTGTGTGTGTATGAATAAACAGTGCTCTTTAGATCAGGCATTCTCAACCTTTTTCACTCCAAAGCCCTCCTGTTTATAACTATAAAGCATAGCGGCCCACAATCGGCCAAAAATCGAACGCAGATATTATTTTCAGACTCAGACATTTTATCAGCTGCAGTTTGAGCTGCAGGAATGATATAAGTGCAATAAGAGTCTGTAAAGAGTCACACAGGCAGATTATACCGACAGTATACAGCACTGACGTGCTGCTGGAAGAAGAGGAAAGCCAGCTCTGTTGACGAATTCCCTCATAAAACGCGTTCACACCAGCAGTGATGAACTGAACAGGGTTCGGTTGAAAGCGGACCAAGACCTGCGGGTTTCGCCGGAGCGGTTCAGCCGTTGAATGCAGACCCGAATAAGGATGGAGTGTTCGCACACGTCAAAACGGAGCAAACTAAAGAAAAAAGTTTGATAGGTCTGCACCAAACAAGGGAGCGCCCCGAGGAACCTCTCAGACGAGTCTAAAATAATATCTACGTTTGATTTTTGGCCGAGCATCAGCGACCTGAAAGGTTCCTCGCAGACCACAAGATGGCCCACAGGTTGAGAAACCCTGCCCTAGATGGTTTAACCTTGTATATAGCACTATAGCTAACATCTTGAGCTGTTAAATTCAAAACAGATCAGAAATATATAAGCCATTTTTCTTCCGTATCTTGGCCTATTTGAGCGAGCTGAGTGTTTTCACTCAGTGATTGGTTGAGGTGTTGGGAAAGGGACATGAAACGTTGGTTAATATTAATTTTCCCACCAGCTAGTGACAATCAAAGGTCAGAAGACATTTTAGAGGTGGCCAAAAGTTAGTAGATTTACACAAAAGACTACAAGAAAACAAGATTTTTGTGTTTGGAATAATGCAGGTTAAGTTGTGCTTAAGCTGTCATTTCAGGTCGACTTTGAAACAGGGCTGTCCGTGATGCAGGCCAGAGTTGGCCCGTTTGATTTGACCCCGCAGAAAGTTTGCCGACACTGTAAAATATGGTTTGTCAGTTCAACCTTAAAATACTTGATGTGGTAACAAGCAATTTAACTGGTTCCATTCAACATAAATAAACAACCTAAATGGAACAATGCAAAGCAAAATTGTAGTTTACGTGAACGTAAACAGTATTTTACCTCAAAAACATTTCAAATCAAATTCTGCCCTGTTTATTTTTTACAGTGTAACCCCACCTCCTCACCCAATGAGAGGACAAATAAGAAAAAATACTTTTTATTGCCGTTTCAAAAGAAAACCTCGTATCTCCATTTTTGACATAATTTGAAAATACCTGTTACCCTTTACATTGTATGTGAATTTCATGATGAATGGACCAAAAGAAACGACCGAAAAGGACCTGGAAAAAAGTCTGGTTCCATTGACTTACATTGAAAGTAAAGTAGGTTTTTCCTTCTCCTGTAAAGTTAGAATTGTTAGAATGATTGTCCATTTTATCAGCTCCACTTACTATATAGGTGCACTTTGTAGTTCTACAGTTACAGACTGTAGTCCATCTGTTTCTCTGATACTTTGTTGGCCCCCTTTTACCCTGTTCTTCAGTGGTCAGGACCCCCATGGACCCTCACAGAGCAGGTACTATTTGGGTGGTGGATCATTCTCAGCACTGCAGTAACACTGACGTGGTGGTGGTGTGTTAGTGTGTGTTGCGCTGGTCTGAGTGGATCAGACACAGCAGTGCTGCTGGAGTTTTTAAACACCTCAGTGTCACTGCTGGACTGAGAATAGTCCACCAACCAAAAATATCCAGCCAACAGCGTCCTGTGGGCAGCGTCCTGTGACCACTGATGAAGGACTAGAGGATGACCAACACAAACTGTGCAGCAGCAGATGAGCTATCGTCTCTGACTTTACATCTACAAGGTGGACTGACAAGGTAGGAGTGTCTAATAGAGTGGACAGTGAGTGGACACTGGTTCCAACCACGGTTTGCCCACCTGCTCTAGCTAATTAACTTCTTGACTGCCTTGATCAAAAGCAGTATTTTTTGGTAAAGGCTTGTTAGATGCAGGTTGGGACTAAAAACTGCTCGGAAAGTAGATCCCCAGAATGAGGATCGTTTTGAAACCTGCTATTCTTCCTTACTTATGTAGTGTTTTGTCTGTTCGGCCCTTGACCCACCACAAACATTGCACTTTGCCCCCCTCCCCCCAAGACAGAAAGCGTTGGCGCCCCCCAGCTTTAAAGCAAACCTGAAACCCACCCTTTAAAACTGAAACTGGCCCCTCCTACTGCTTCGCTTAACCCCGTACTGCATTCCTTATGAGAGCAATATTTAAAAAATATATTTGATCCACTTTTCTTGCAAAAAATGGTCCTGATTATTCAATTGAAAAACGTTTGTGCAACATTGTGCGACAATGAGAACAAATGGTATAGAGCTGTGTTCCCTGATGTGGTGAGACTTGGCTTGTGACTGGATAAACCTATTGTTGCTTCTAGGCAACAAACACACTTCTGCAAATTCTCAAAACAAAAAAATTATACTGAATGTTAAAAAGAGGTTTAAAAGTGCCCACTAAGAGAGAGTATGCTTTTAATTGACTTACTCAAACTGCTCCCTTTATTTTCAGCCCTATAGTTGCCTTTAATTGAGTATGTTGCCTTGAGGCAACATTGTGCGACAACGGGAAGAAGTGATACAGAGCCGTGTTCTCTGAAATGCTGAGACCTGGCTTGTTACTGGCAAAGTCCATTCCACTGTCACACAGTGTTGCTTCTAGGCAACAAACATGTTTGTGAAAATTCTCATAACAAAAAAAAATATACTGAATTTTAAAAAAGGGGTTTAAAAGTGCCCACTAAGAGAGAGTATGACTGAGTACATGCTTTTAATTGACTTACTCAAACTCCTCCTTTTATTGATTACCCTATCGTTGCCTTTGAATATGTATAACGTTATTGTAAAGTGAGGACAATGAGTTTGTTGCCCTGAGGCAACATTGTGCAATAAAGCGTTAGTAATCTGTTAGTAATCACGGCGAACGAGCTTTTCCCCCTGAAAACTGCTCTGGTTCTGTAAACACTAACGACGTTAACCGGTACCACATCAGTTCAGCCCGGGTGGACTTCAAACCCGTTTGACTGACAGCCAGGAGCGGCGAGGCCCCGCCCCCTCCGCGAGCTATCTGGATCAGCCGGAGTGGACTTTGTTTTCATTCTGCTCTTTTTTTCATTCACATCACAACCTGAGCTCAGCGCGAGCGATTAAACGAAGCTGTTGTTTCACGAAGATGACGGGACTAGTTTTTTTGCGGAAGACTACTTTTATTTCCGTTTCGGTGTCTGAGTTCATTCCTCTGTCTGGGAATCAGTCGGACAGGAACCGACAGCGCGTTGTGAGGATCCCGGCGCGGCCAGTCGGTGATGATCCCGTGTGAGAGTCTGAATCAGTGATGCAAGCCGCTGTAACACCTCCACTCCCGGTCCAGCGTGTTTTGAGAATCCGTTCCGCGTTTTGCTCTCGCTTTTCTTCGCGCTGGCTGCTCCGCTCCGCGGGAGGAGAGGGGGAGCTGGTAGGAGAGGCCGTGGATCCGTGAGCTGCGTGTGCTCGCTTTTCCGAGGAGCGCGCGGCACGCGGTTTAAATGAACGTGAATATCCGTCAGCCACGGTGAAACAAAGGAGGTGGCGGTGCGGAGGGGAGCGCAGAGGAGCAGGGCAGGCTGGCGGCGCAGCGGGGGGGACGCACGGGCACAATAGGGAAGACACGCTCGCTCTCTCTCTCTCTCTCTCTCACTCACACGCACAAACACTCGGTTGGAATACGGTGTTTCTCTCGACGCGGACAGCATCGCCGCGGGACGAGGAGCAGTCTCGCCGGAGTGGAGGAGCGCGAGAGCGCACCGCGAGGACCTGAATCCTCCACGCCGAAGAGGTTTGGATGGATATGTTTGTGAATCGGTCGCTGCTGAGAGCAGGATAAGCCGCTGTTTGGATCTCGGGAGCTCCGGTGCCCCAGGATAGTTGCAGGGCACGAAAATTCTCGCGTATTTTTATTGTGAATGAAAAATCTTTGCACTTTTGGTTAATATTTAAGTTATTGTCATCATAGATTAATAGGTTATTTTTATTTATATTATTATAATTATTATCATCATTGGTAGTGATTTTCTAATTATTATTGTTGCTATTATTATTATTATTATTATTATTTCTGAATTTTATCAGTATGGCCTCTGGATATGTTCACCTCGTAACCGCGTCAGGTTAAGCCTGCGCTGGTGGTGTTACGTGAGTTTGTTTACGTGCTTTCCGCTGCCAAAGAATGCACCTGCTTGATGGTAATTACCCGGAAAGGATGGAGCGGGGCACGCCACAAAGGAAAACCGTGTACCGGATCTCTCTCACGTTAGTGAAAAAGGAGAGCCTGCAGGGTGTCGGTGGCGTCGCCACGGCGTCCCGGCGGCTCGAGAACCCCAAAGTGAGCGCGTACCGGCGGGAAGGATCGTCGGAGATCCAGCGAAGCTGTCTGCTAGAAGAGGTTAAAGAAGTGGAGGACGAAACGGACGACTTCTCTGCCCACGCGTACAGGAACTTCCGGACGTTCAGCACCGGACAGCTGGAACTTGGTAGGTTGAAGGTTTCGCGGAAGATGCGACATTTGCAGAAAGATAACTCGTTGGAGTTGGATGAAACACGTTCTAGCGCATCGGCAGCGGATGCGAACTGTAAAGAGGGCACTGAGAATTGCGCAGCGTTGCTTAAAGCGAATGTGCAAGCACCGGATACGGACGCTGACAGACTTAAAGCGGATGGTGAGACGGAGGAAAGCTGCAGAGCAGCTGCTGGTAATGGAGAAAGCATGGGCATTAAAAGGAAATGTATGCTCAAGACTTCCAGGAGTGCCGAGGAGCAGGTCAGCGGGCGTGCGGTCGAAGATCCGGCGTCTGAGGAGGAAAAAGACTCCCAGAAGGGCGGAAAGCTGCCCAAGGACAGCAGCCTCTCTTCTTTGCTGGCTAAACTGAACGGAAAAGCCGCCAAGCAGGCCCCCCAGACCCCTCCGGTCAAGAGGCACCCCAGCCTGCTGCGTCGGAGCTTCAGCTTTCGGCACTGGACCGGCAGCGAGCTCTTGCGGATCCGGGCCCTGTCCAAAGAGAAGCACCACAGCAGCTCGGGTTGCATCGGGCGCGAGGAGCCCCAGGTCAAATCCCAGTCCGCCGTGGTCCTGCAGAACCCCTCCTTCGATGAATCCGAACCAGCGGAAAAGGGAGAAAAGCGCAACACCCTGGACGTGGGCGAGGTTCTCGGGAGCCGCAGAGAGCGAGCCAAGGGCAAGAACCGCACACTGGACAACAGCGACCTGCTCAGGCTCTCTGACAAGTCCCTGGCAGAAAAGGAGGGATTCATCCGAGGCTCTGGTTCCCGCTCCAGTGGCCAGGAGCGCAGGCTCATCCGCTTCTTCAGTGGCATCTTCACCAAGAAGGATGGCACTTCCACGCCCGTCAGCAGCCCCAGCAACCGTGCCCTCCGCAAGAACGGCCTGCTGGGCTCCCAGAGGAGGGCCACATTGGGCTACTCGCAGTCCAGCACCGAGAGTGTCAACGGCTTCCTGCAGGACGGTAATTATATGTCCCACTGTCTATCTGTTTGTTGAAGCTTAGCGGAGAGTGCGTGGGGCGGCGGGTCACTGTTTGGCGCTGAAGCGTCGGGATGGGGGCTGGGGGCTTGGGGGGGTGTTTGTTTTGGACACAAAAGTGATGTTTAGCTGCCATTCTTTAGGGCTGCCTCTGTTTGTGTTTCATTAAAGTGTGTCTAGTCTCGGCTCTACCTCAGTCTCTCTCTACCTCTCTCTAAAATGTGCTTAATGGGGAATTCCACCTATTCTTCAAAACATCTGCGAATTCGATCGTTACGATGTAAATAGTCACTCACTGTGTTTTGAAGTGAAATGCGCTGCTCTAGAGAAACTTAGTGAGTCACAGTGGGTCAGCAGTGGTGATAAGAGCCAGACGTCTGGCTCGTTTAATGACTCTAAAAGCTGCATCACATACATGTATTACATGAAGTGGATACAGATGTGTTGCACCATGCCTAGAAATTGTTTTACAGAAGTTTTGAGTCAAGATTTTGGTCTCAAACTTAAAATTTATTCATGTTGGAGAGACACAGGGCACTTGTTTTTTGATTTACTGCTATTTTTCCCTTATTACTTGTAAATATAAAAACCCGGCAGACGTGTTGGTAGGGCTGATCGATTTGGGGAAAGTATCAAATCGCGATTTTTCTGACCGATATTGCGACTGCGATTTAAATTGTGACTATTGTCTGTAAATTAAAGTTCAGTTTTTGGCCAAGAAGACCAGAATATCCTCTTTGTCTGGGTTGAGGCTTGACCCCGTAATGTAGTGTAAGGTGTGGTTGTGATGTCACAGCAGATGGAGATTTAGTCGTGTCTGTTTGGTCTAACTCTACAGGCGGTTTACCACTCTGTTATTAGGTCAAATATCCCCACTTAAAACTAGATAATATGTAAGTTATTGATAATGTAGGCTTTAATTCTTAAAAAAATTGCAGCTCTTGTGATTTAAAAATTGCTCTATCGATATAAAAACGATTGATCTTTCAGCCCTACGTGTTGATATGCTGGTCGCTTTGCATAGCAAATACAATGGTTATACTTGCGATCATCACCTATCTGAGTCTGTACGTTTCTCTAAAGTGTATCACTTCACATCAAACCACTGAATTTAAACACATCACTATTTAATCTGTTTACACATCATTTGAATTATGAAGAAATGTAGAAAAATCAGTGGAATTCCCTTTAAAGCTGGTGGTGATGCTACAATAAAATGGCTATATTTGCAGTCATCACCTATTCACCACCATCATAAAGAGATCTGAGTCTGTACATTTCTCTAAAGTGTATCACTTCACATCAAACCGCTCTGAATTTATACGACTCATTCATTGAATTATGAAGAAATATAGAAAAATCAGTTGAATTCCCTTTAAAGCTGGTGATGCTGCAATACATGAACGACCTGTTTAGTCTTGTTCTCCCACTACTTTGTGTCTTTGTTCCTGTCTACTGATATGCAAACTCTTGGACACGTCAGCTCCCCCCCACCCCCCCACCTTTTCGAATCCCCTTTAAAAGAGTGGAGGCTTTTTTGTTAAAAGCAATGACCAGAGAGGTGGAGGCCACATTTACGCTTCTCTCTGTTGTTGCTTCTTGTGCATTATCTGTCTCTGTCTGCTCGCGGTGACAGCAGGTCGCCCGAGATGCCCTCCCTCTGTCCTGCCTGTGATATGATAATGTGGAGCTTCTGGTAGAAGCTCTGTGTGCGCAGAAAACGCCCTTAATGAATTACCTGCCTGGGCGCGAGCCACCGGCCATCTGCCGCCTCAGAGGTGAGCGGACCCTCTTGAAAGATGGGCCGCTTCTGTCTGCTCAGCCTGTCAGCTGTTCACACTCTCCATTCCTCTACATATCCTGAGAGGTCTGGGACAGGAAATGAGAGGATCTGTGAATTTTCTGTTTAAAGACGACGCTTTAGTTGAATTGGAGCAGTATTAATTAAGAGTCGGGATGTCCAGGCTTATCATTAAAGGGCCGGCGAGGCTGGAGGTTTTCAATCCAGTAGAGTAGGAGCGCATCTGATTCTACTCATTACATCATCATCAAATCAAATCATTACTTTTAACTACACGCTTGTGAGTCAGTACAGTTTCCAATGGCTTTTACCTGCTATAAAACTGACTATAGAAATAACCCTAAGTTATATTATTCCATGCAAATTTCCATGTCTGTAAGTTTTCATGCTTTTTCTTTAACCTCTTTAACTCCGTGGAACCACCGGTGGTTCCAAAACGTACTTCGTCATAGTCTTTACTTCATAACTTTCATATTTCCTAAGCTACATTCTAAAGGTGGGGGTCATATGAGAGCTGTAACTGTCTTCTTTCCAGTCAAATAGATGGGTGATGTAATTTTAAAACTTTATAATAAAAGAAGCTGAATTTTTTTACTTTTTTCTACTGAAAGTCGAACCATTTTTCCACAAATCTGAGCTATGAATTGGATCTCAGATGGCGTCTGGCGTTATGAAAAACAGGTCTGTGTGTCAGTGTGAACAGATAAACACTGAATCTGACATTTTTAGTTCTGATTTGAGACGCTTTCCTACACGGTACTGAAATCTGATCCGTATGCAGCAATGTGTCTGAACAGCCAGATCGGAATTCATGTGACTTTTACGTCAATCCAACTCCACATTCGTCATAATTTCGCGCTGCTGAGACTCATAAACATTTAGGCTGATGTTTCTGTACTAAAAAATTAGAAGAGACTCATCAAAACCGCAACGTGTTTGAAGAGATTTAGAAAGAATCTGAGCTATAAATTGGATCTCAGATGGCGTCTCTTCAGCGATTATGAAAAATTATGAAAAAATACAGAGTGTCTAAGATTTTAGGCTTTCAGCAGTAAATTGTAAGGATATGGCATTATGTTTATGATCATAAAACTCCTACACTTCACATTTTATTTCATGCAGTTACTAAATAATTTGCCTTAGGATTTAGGCGTGTAAATCCATATGGAAAAACCAGTATATACCCTGGGGAATAAGAGGTATGAAGGCACTTGAAGAAGCATTTACTTATATTCTCTGTGGCCCAAATCAAGTCAGTATGCACCGTCCTATGACTCTGAACAGTGAAACATGAAAATCTTTTATATATAAGGGTACAAAGCTAATGATAATGCAAGTGACACACTGCGTTCACTTAAGACAGAGAAGGTCAACATAATTATGATTAAACTAAATGTGTGGACTTTTTCTACTCATGAGCAGCTGAGCTTATTGAGTGTGGAGCCTTTTTCTCCCCTGTGTGCAAAGCGAGTAACGATTCCCATCTCTTTAATTTACCTCATTATTCCTTATTACACGTGACCGTTCATCAACATTACAGACGCTCTGCGGTAAAATTTACATTACATTATGTCTGAGATGTGCTTAATGTGGCCAAGCAAAGAATATCAGACAAGCTGAGTTTGAATGAAAATGCCATGTCAGTGTTGTTGACCCCAGCGGTCTTAGTGTAACTGACCCGTTCGTTTGTGTGGTGTCACGTTACCAGTGTTGATTAACTGCCTCCACATTCCCCACATTCTTTAGAGATTCGTGAAGTGAAGGCAGGACTCCTACTGAAGATAGCCACCGCTGATTATTAGATTATGACGTTTGCGGATTATCTGAAATGCATTGTTCTTTTTATGTATTGTTCTTTTCTATTTTTAGCTCTGTTCTGAGACTTGCTCAGTGAAGGCTTCACGTACTGTAGCACAGATATCCAGACTGAAAGCTCTTCACGTTTACATCCTGAATTCCTACACTGGCGTTGTTCCCTTCAATTAGCACAGCAGTGCTGGCTGTGAGCATGTCTTGCTGCCATGTGTTACTCTATGGGAGCAGGATGTGAAATAGTGTTCTCCAGTGCACAGTCAGCACTGATCCTCTGCATTGTTCGGAGCCAGATGGGACGTGCTTAAAAATGCTCACGAACGGGCAAGTTTTAGCCTAAAATGTCTTTGTACGTTGTGTTTCAGCATCTTTGCTGTTCCTTGGGGCCGTTGCTGTTCCCACCACCAACCTCTCCATATGGCTCATGTTACCGTATTTGATTTCCGGATAGGACTTGGTTCAGTTCTGTGTGAGGAAAAAGCTTCCAGAATTACAGGCATAAAATTAGAACAGAGAAGCGCTTCTTGGCTCAAAAACGTCTGCAGCAGGAAAGTCGGGATTTCATGCTGTTTATCGCAGGTCGCTGACTTTGGAACTGAGACTCTGATCCGTGTAACACACTCAAGACTCTGACTGTGGCAGGTAGTTCAGTACAGGGTGTCCCAGACTTACAGATGAAATTAGCTGCAGATAATAGACTTTATCTACAGTCTTATGTTTTTTCCCAGCCTTTGTTAAAACCTCTTTTACATTTTTGTGATAGCAGATGTTTTAGCTCCCTTTTAGACCGTGGTTATATGAATAGATGCCACAGTCTCAGGCTTTGTTCACACGGCAGGTAAAAGTGGCCCAAATCTGATCTTTTTCTTCAGATGTGACACAGATGTGTGTGAACAGATAAATACACTGAATCTGACCTTTTCAGTTCTGATTTGAGACGCTTTCATATGTGGTACTGAAATCTGATCCGTATCCGATATGCAGCAATGCAGCTCAGTCTGAACAGCCAGATTGGAATTCATGCGACTTTTACGTCAATCCAACTCCACATTCATCATAATTTCGCGCTGCTGACACTCAGAAACATTTAGTCTGATGTTTCTGTACTAAAAATTTAGAAGAGACTCATCGAAACCGCAACGTGTTTGAAGAGATTTTGAAAGAAATGTCCGAACGCGGCCGCAGGAGAACGAGGCTGCAGCGTCAAAGAACAGTTAAAAGTCTGAAAGCGAAGTTTAAAGAATCCGAGGACGTGAATCAAAGAAGTGACCACGCCCTTTTTACGGATCGAACACATTCTGGGTGATGAGCCCAGCTGTCAGTCAGTGAAGCTTCATGATGGCTCCTGTGATGCTGGTGAAGATGAAGCT